AATTCCTGCCCCTCAGTGGTTAAGGATTGCTTCTGAGACAACCCCCTCACTCCACTCTTGCTTGTCACATGCAGGGATGACATGCTCTTTTGGTCAGAGAAAGTCTTCAAGTCAGGAGACACGGAGTCCTGAGAAATGAAGCCATACATGTGCCCAGGAATGGTCTGCTGGATCTCCAGGTGGCTTCTAGGGTAGCCAGAATATGAGCCAGGTACCAATGACACCTGGCATATGGACACAGAAATATGTATGTCTGTGAGAGGGTATCATGGGTCAGTAGAATATTCATAGAGGTGCAGTCCTAGCAAGGTCTTGAAGGTGAAAAGTTCTCCAGGTGAACAAGTAGGGAAAATGTTTAAGAACAGGAAGACAGGACGAGGGCTTATAGATGTGAATTGCATGATAATGTTGGTTACAGATGAGTCGCCGGTGGGTGGAGGTGGAGACACAAGGGGGAAAGTAAGATGGGCAAGACTTGATAAACATTCACGATACATCTTTTCAATGTGAAGAGACAAAAATCCACAACAAGGTGGTGAGAAAATGTTGCCAGCCTTGGCTCTGTGACGTGGTGGTAGGTTGCAGGGAGAACGGGCTGGATGGCCAGAAGGTCCAAGCGTAAATGGAGGATGTAACCAGGTTTGTGGGCCTCCTCTTAAACCTTTTACAAATACATTGCAGCTTCTGGTGCCTTGTTTGCCTCTAGATTGTTTACTTACTTTGATGGAGGTAGAGATTTCCTGTTCCTGAACTTCTCAGTTTTACTCTAGTCATCAGCAGAGTCATGTGGAATAAAGATCTCAAGAAAAATGTGCCATTTTCATCTCTTATAAGGAAGTGTAATTTGGGGCTGAAGGAGAGCTGAACCGGGGTTATTGGCAGAAGAAACGGGCAAGGCAGAACAATATGGATTGGGATATTCTTCTTACTTCAAATATACATCACTTGTGTTTAAATAAATAAATAGCCCAGACACACCTACCATGGGGGGAAAGCACAATTAGCCAATTGTGATGANTGGGGCCAGATAATTCTTTGCTGTGGGCTCTGTCCTTGCACTGTAGGATGTTTAGGAGCATCCCTGGCCTCCAGCTGATACACAGATGCCAGCAGGCGATCCCTCTCGGAAGATGTGACAACCGAAAATGTCTCCCGACACTGCCAAGTGTCCTCTCGGGGGAAAATCGCCCCGTTTGAGAACCACTGACATAAGGCTACAAAATCATTTCTTTGGAAGCAAATATTCCACAAAATCTCTCTAAGTGAGTTGTTCAATTACTTTTTTCTCAAAAGAGCAAAGGAAACCCGTCTTTATGTTTCCCCACTTTGGTCTGTGGTTGCTTTTCTAGTTCTGTTCTTCTTTTATTGCCTGAAAATAACATTCCCCTATAATATTTTGTCTTCATTTGATTTTCTCAGTTCTCTCAGGCAGACTGGTGCTGTGAAACAAAGTCCAGAACCCTGTGGCTTAGGAACCTTAGGCAAGCTGACAATCAAACATTCAGACATGACAAGGGAAAAGAGAATTTTTTTCATGTCCTTTCTATTAAAAATGCTGTGTTGTAAATGATGTTATTTTCAATTTCCAGAACAATTATCAAGTTTTCCATCTCCTTGAAGATAGGAACCTCTGAGTATAATTATGTAATTGTTCAGAATGCTTGGCACATAGTAGGTGCTCAATAAATATATAATAATTGACTGTTTGATTAAGATGGATCTACTAGTAATTTGACTTCTACTAGCCCCAGTCATAGGGGGTCCCAGAAACCAGAGACCTTTGAGTAAGTCACTCATGAGGAAGTAAGTATCCCCCCAAATCCACATGTTCTCAGTTTGAATCTGTTCAGTAAATATTTAGAGATTGCTTAGTGCAGTGGAGCTGAGACACAGAGGTGAAAAAATGCAGTGCCCACTTTTAAGGAACTTAAAGACACATCAGTGGATAATTTTACTGCAATGCTGTACATTCTAAGAGACAGAGGCTAAGCCAATACTGTGGGTGTTCGGTAGAGGGGCCCCACCCTGGCCTTTGCTGAGAGATAGAAGCAGGGTCAGAAGATGCAACACATAAACGTGTGTCAAGGGACAATCCGAGTCGGTTCTGTGAAGAGGCGCGGGCAGTGAAGAAGTAGGGTGGTGGCAAGGGCGTCCAGGCAGAGGGCCAGCATGGACACACACAGAGGAGTGATCTACTCTTCCTGAAACTGGGGGTGCTGGGAGATGAGTCTGGAGATGTGGAGAGGCAGGCCCTGGAGTGGGAGCTTTCTTCCACCTAGGGAGCTGTGAAGGTTTTTGTTTTTAAATTGGAGTATAATTGCTTTACAATGCTGTGTTAGTTTCTGCTCTACAACAACGTGAATCAACGGTATGTATACCTATATCCCCTCCCTCCCACCTCCCTCCATCTCACCCCTCTATGGCATCACAGAGCTCCGAGCGGAGCTTCCCACGAGCTATCTATTTTATGAGTGTTAATGTATATACAGGGGTTCCCGGGTGGCTCAGATGGTAAAGGATCTGCCTGCAATGTGGAAGACCCAGGTTCAGTTCCTGGGTTGGGAAGACCCCCTGGAGGAGGGTATGGCAATCCACTCAAGTATTCTTGCCTGGAGAATCCCATGGACAGAGGAGTCTGGTGGGCTACAGTCCATGGGGTCGCAAAGAGTCATACATTACTCAACGACCAACACTGACGTATATATGTCAATATATCTACTCTTGCAATTTGTCCCACCCCAGCAAGAGAATTTCAGAAAAACATCTACTTCAGATTCATTGACTATGCTAAACCCTTTGACTGTGTGGATTACAACAAACTGTGGAAAATTCTTAAAGAGATGGGAATACCAGACCACTTTCCTCCTGAGAAACCTGTATGCAGGTCAAGAAGCAACAGTTAGAACTGGACATTGAACAACGGATGGGTTCCAAATTGGGGAAGGAATATGTCAAGGCTGTATATTGTCACCCTGCTTATTTAATTTATGTGCAGAGTACATCATGAGAAATTCCAATACTCTGGCCACCTGATGTGAAGAACTGACTCATTGGAAAAGACCCTGATGCTGGGAAAGATTAAAGGCAGGAGAAGAAGAGGACAACAGAGGATGAGATGGTTGGATGACATCACTGACTCAATGGACATGATTTTGAGCAAGCTCCAGGAGATGGTGAGGGACAGGGAAGCCTGGTATGCTGCAGTCCATGGGGTCGCAAAGAGTCGGACACGACTGAGCAACTGAACAACAAGAACCTTCACCGCCACCGTGTCCACATGTCTATTCTCTATGTCTGCCCTGCACATAAGTCCATCTGCACCAGTTTTCTAGATTCCACACATTTGCATTAATACACGACATTTGTTTTCCTCTTTCTGACTTACTTTAACAGACTCTAGGTCCATTCACGCATGCGTGCTCAGTTGCTCAGTCGTGTCTGACTCTTGAGACTCTCATAAACTGTAGCCTGCTAGGCTCCTCTGTCCATGAAACTTTCCAGGCAAGAATACTGGAATGGACTGCTGTTTTGTACTCAGGGAGATCCTTCCCACCTGGGGATCAAAGCCACACCTCCTGCATCTCCTGCGTTGGCAGTCAGATTTTTTCTTTTCTTTTTTTTTTTTTAACCACTGGGCCACCTGGAAAGCCCCTAGGTCCATCCACATCACTACAAATGACCCGATCTCATTCCTTCAGTGAAGGGTTTTAAGCAAAGGGTAAGGCAGCCTGCTTTGGGTTTTCCTTCGGTATGAAGCATGGATTTGAAGACCAGCGGCTGCATGAGAGAAAAACAGGACCCTTGAGGGAAGAGGCGGTTAGGGTCTTTTCTAGGTAATGGAAGGGGGAAAGGCATACAGTCGACAGGTGGAATGGAATGCCCTAGGGTAGATTGAGACCCCAGGGGCAACCCTCTGAGGGACAGACCAGGGTGGTTGGTGGCATTTGAGAGATGTGTCTAATCTGTTGAGATAAGAAAAGTATTTCTCCCTTACCTCTGTGCCACTCCTGCTCAGATCTTTGTGTCTTTTTAGGTAGAGAGGGGGCTTCCCTGGTAGCTCAGATGGTAAAGAATCTGCCTGCAATGCAGGAGACCCAGGTTCAATCTCTGAGTTTGGAAGATCCCCTGGAGGAGGGAATGGCTATCCACTCCATTATTCTTGTCTGGAGAATCCCATGGACAGAGGAGACTGGTGGGCTACAGTCTACGGTCACAAAGAGTTGGTCAAACCCAACGGAGCGATGAACACTTTCATTTTCAGGTAAAGAGGATCAGCTGTTCGCGAATTCCTGATAGAGGCCTTTGTGCTTTCATAATTCTCAAAGAAAATAAATAGAGTTGGGGGACTTCTATGGTGGTTCAGTGGTTAAGACTTCTTGCTTCTAATGCACGGGGTGTGGGTTTGATCCCTGGTCAGGGAACTAAGATCTCCCAGGCCATGTGACCAAAAAGTTTAAAAAATAAATAAGTTTAGGTCTTAAAAATTTTTTTATTTTAAAAAGAAATTTGAATGTCAAAGAGGGAGAACCCTTAAGTAGTGATGTTACAGCAATGAGAAGGAAAAGGAGATTCAGATTTCAAAAGAAACAGAGGCCTGGGTTTCCTAGGCTCATTGCCTTAGATGGCAGAGGGCAGGAGGGAATGAGTCAGGTGGGCAGATAATATTTGATGTGCTCCATACTCACAAATTGGGAAGTATTTGTGAAGTTCAGGGCAATGCTAAAATCTGGAGTTCCAGTGAAGGTACTCGGAATTGAGGAGGCCAAGAACCTCAAAACACTAGTAATGTGTTGGTTGGGCCAGGCACAAATGTCTTAGAATACAGCAGAAATTCGGTCCACCCATAAGGTGTGTGCCGCTTTGGCAAGAGTGCCCATGGTGATATTTCCATTCTCTTCCCAACCCCAGCCCTGTTCTGTTCTCAGACAGGGTTGGTGGGGGTTCGCTCTCCTACTTGTATGCCTCAGCCTGCACATTCAAGATTCTCCCACACCCTCCAATCACAGCAGCATGATCCACCCTTTAGAGGGAAGAGGCTCTGGACGTGGGTCCAGGGCCTTAAGGCTCTGTGGGCAGGGATTCCCAGGGTCCTGTGTACCCAGAACAGTCTTCAAAGAGGGAGCAAGAACTCCCTATGGGACTCTTCCCTTGGCTGCCTGAATTCCTTGCCTCTTGGGAAGGGAGATGGTTATAGGAGGGCACAGCAGGGTCCTCTAAAAAAGGGGTCCAGGGTAGCAATCCTGGTGGGCTGGGGGCAATGATGGCAGGAATTGGGATGGAGAAAAAGGCTGTGAGTCAGGGCCTTAGCCCTCCGTGAGGCTGTGCTGTGTGTGTTTGGGAGAGGTGGGTGGCAGTAATGACACAGAGGGTGAAGAAGAAAAACTACTCTTCATCAAACTCTGTGGCTTTAGAATCAAATGAAATATAAGGATGCTATTTTAGCAGATTGATTTTCTCATTTTCCCTGGTAACCTTTAGCTCCTGCAGAGTTCAAAGCCAAGCAAGCAGAGTGGGAGATGCTGGGAAATGACACAGTGAGAGTGGTAGCTGGCAATAAAAAAAAGAGACAAAAGAGTCCCCGAATAGAAGAACACATTAGTTGGGGGGTCAGTCAGTGCCAGGGAAAATGGCCCTGCATGTGTCCTCGGGACACAACTCCATTACAGCATGGAACAATGATGAATGCGCTTTTAGAAGTTTCCATTTTGGGGAAGAAGCATTTGCTTTCAGTTGTTGAAAAAAAAAAAAGCATTAATTTAGAGCTCCTATTCTCCAACAACTCAGGGTAAGTTGGGTATTGCTGCAGTTTCCATTTAATGAGACTTTCTGTTGCCTCTCCTCTGGCTCCTGATGGCTTGAGCAAGTTTTGCCATCGCTTTTCTTTCTCCCCTTCTCCCTCCTGGAGAATTCCACATGGAGCTGCATCGCTGGGCCCATTTCCTGGTCAGGCTGCATAAAATCAGTTCAACTCATCTAAGCCCGAAAATGAAGTGACAATTCTGCGGTTATGGCCTAATTCACAGCCGCATCATTAAATGGTTCATCACAGCCTCAGATGGGACTTTTCATTCTCTTACGACAGCTGGCAAACGATAGGAACAGACGTGCCCACTCAACCCGCCTGGCTTCAGCAGGAGCAGGCAGAAGAGTGAGGATCATAGACCGTTGCAAAAAAAAGGCAAGCCACCTCTTCTCATCAGCTCTTAGCCTTGGAATCTGTGGGCTTCCACAGTGGGGGGCTCAGCACAGTGCTCTAGGAGCAGGGCTGTAGCATGGCTCCAAGAGACCCCTGGGTCTGGGAGAGCCTTCGTGTGGTGCTGAAGAGCTCATCTCATCTCAGGGGGGATTTGCACCCCTTCTCTGCTCTCGCCTCCTCTCCTTTGAAGGTCAGGAGTGAAGATGCTGCCCCCACCTCATGGCAACTCAATACTTAGCCTCTTTCCCTCGAAGAAAAAGGCATGGGTGGACTTGCCTGCCACTCCGACCACAGTATACTATAGTTTACAGCTTTGATGGCCAGGGGCTCCAAGTACCAGACAACTGGTTTGCAAACACTTGAGTCAGATGGAGCTATCTTGCTGGAACACGTGCAGGCATTTGGGGCCTATTCTCCCTGTCACTTCTCCAGCCCTGGGGCCAGTCCTGTTTGAATGGGTGGGTGAGATATGACATGATGATGGTGATGATGATGAAGATCGTGGGAGGAGAAGAAGAGCTTATATACTTTACAGCCCCGCTCTGCAGTACCGGTGCCTGAGAATGATCATGCCATGTAATGTCTATGACTCTTTTGTGTGGGAGGTATTTCTAACCCCCTTTTAGAGATAAGGAGACTGGCATGGGATTATTGAACTTTCCTGAGGTCACAAAGGTGAGAGGTCAAAAAGTCAGGATCCCAGCCCAGCCCTTGCTCTCGACCAGTATCAGGCAGCATCTCCTACCAGACACCTGGGCACTCACACTTTGTACTGTGTGGGCTCCGCTTCACTCAGTTTTCCTAGGACCAGCTCTGATCTTGTTCCTTGATTCTAAAAACTAGGCTCTACCTTGTTCCCTAAGACCATCTCCTTGTTTTAGGCTCCATTTCTGGTCACTGCGTCCTTTTCTAGTTCCCTTGCATGGAGTGCCCATCAGAGCCAGAACCTCCACTTCTCTGGGACAAAATGCATGCCTTGATCTTTTCAGTACTGCCCATGAATCTCAGCTTACCAGGAGGGTCCCCCAGTACCTTCTAGGCTTGTCGATGATTATCACTTCCTTGTGTCTCCTAGTGGACCATTCTGTTGCAGAACCCCACTGTCTCTCTTTGATCTCTATACTCCTTTCTATCTTAGGCCCATTGTAAGCTCGTGACCATCTCTGATCACTGCTAATACCTCATCAAGTTTTCCCATCCATCCTCTAGGTTTCAACCACCCCGGATAACACTGAAATATTTATAAGAGGACTATAAGCAAAACTGGATTTTCCTAAAGGAATGCCAGGGAGCCTGGCCCACACACTCACTTCTACAACAAGCAAGGTCACTCTCCAGTATTCCCTTGGAGGTCTGTCCTTTGGAAGACCTCCCCATCCATTGGGTTGGCAAGTAATGCTTTTGCTCAGTGTTAGTACCCTTCTTACCATGATCACTGACATCGGGGGCTCATTTGGAAGCTTTCTCAAGTGTACTTTCCATTATTGATTAAATGTATAAAGGAGGAGAGCTTTATTCATTAGTAATCTCCCTTAGACTTACTCTCAAGAAAAGCATTCAGAGAAGCAGAGAACATAATTCCCAGGGGTCTTGCCAGCCTCCCTCGGGCAGCAGAGAAAGATCGTGGAATAAGGAGCCACAGGTCTCTCAGCTTTCCTAGAACAGCGGGTAGGTGTGGTAACCCCTCTGGCAATTTCTGGTGAGGCAGCAGGGGAGAGAGTAATGATAGTGGAGAAAATCATGGATTGAGCCCCTGCAGGGTGGATGTCCAGGGAGGTTTTGGAGAAGACTGGGAGAGTTAGAGGCTACGGAGCAGTCATGGAGTAAGAGAACTGCAGATGAGTGAAAGTTTTATGCTGCACTGTGTTGCCTGGGATTCGAAATTGGATCCCCATCCTTGAAAGATACAATAGAGTAGTGTGCTTTTAAAATTGTTTTTAGTTTCTGAAGTGCATTTTCTTTGAATGTGATTTTTGAAAAGAGACTGGGCCATGTGGGACCCTAGAGTCATAAAAACCCCATTTGGACATCATTTCAGGCCACTGAAGAAAACACAGTTGTTTTGCAAATCATCTGACAAGTCCTTAGAAAGGCATTGTTTTCATCTGGAGATAAAGTTTGCCCTAATTCCGCCATATTTTCCAATGCCACATTCCCCTTCATCTGGGAATCATCCCATTTCCTTCCTCGGCTCCCTATATAGCTCTGCTTAAATGAGACATGGATAGTTACCTATGGCAAACACCGAGAATCCTCACAAAGTCAGGCTGGCAGGAAGGCCCAACGGCCCAGAAGGAGAAAGACTGGGCAACATGCTCAGCATAGTTTAGACATCGTTACTGCTCAGTGCCTTTTATCTGCTTGGCAAATGGCCTGGATTCTTTTCAGAAGTGGGATAGACAAACTCAATTGGGAAAGGCAACGTGGCCCGAGGAGGAATGTGAGTGGGAGGTTTGAGACTCATCAGTCTGACTCTGTACTGCTAATCTCATCACTCATATCAGTGAGATACAGGGCAGTAAAATATCTTCTTCTTGTTGTTGTTGTTTAGTTGCTAAGTCATGTCCAACTCTTTTGTGACCCCATGGACTATAGCCCACTAGGTTCTTCTGGCCATGGGATTCTCCAGGCAAGAATACTGGAGTGAGTTGTCATGCCCTCCTCCAGGGGATCTTCCTGACCCAGGGATCAAACCCAGGTCTCCTGAGTCTCCTGCATGGCAGGCAGGTTCTGTACTCACTGAGCCACCGGGGAAGCACCTTTACCATTGCACCACCAGTAAAATAAAGAGTGCTGAATTGCATCTCCAAAATCATTACAGGAGGGATACATAACAGAGCTAGCAAATATTTTGAGATCCTTAGGATCACAGAATGTAGAACTGCAAGTCCTAGGTATCAGTGAGAATGTGGAAATAGGCCATTTTAATTTGAAACAGAACAAAATATTCTAAGTTACTGAGCCTGAAGCAAAAGATTTATATATACTTGATCTAGTAATATGGACCCAAAGTACTGCAGGTCCTCTTGACTCTCCCAATGAAAAATGAGCTCATATTTATTGTGTAGAAGTAAATAAAGCAGCTTTTCACATACCAACACCATTCCTTTACCCTCAGTACCCACACTGAATGCACTGAATCACCTCCTAATGCTTTTCTCCGATTCATCTTGGTAGGAATTCTATCTCTCACTCCCCTTTCCTGGTTTTGGTCTGTCTGGTGGTGGTGGTTTAGTCACTAAGTTGTGTCTGACTCTTGCGACCTCGTGGACTATAGCCCTTCAGTTCTTCTCTTCATGGGATTCTCCAGGCAAGAATACAGGAGTTGGTTGCCATTTCCTTCTCCAGGGGATCTTCCCGACCCAGGAATAGAACCCGGGTCTCCTGCATTACAGGCAGATTCTTTACTGACTGAGCTACAAGGGAAGCTAGGGGTTTGTCAATGGAGAAGTAGCTCTTTTAAGATATTGTACACCAGATACAGAATCTTTGGCAAATGATAGTTGTACAGCAGAGTTTTTCAATCTGTCTGAATCCCTTCATAAATACAGTACAGCTAGATAGCAAAACTGAAAAACACATGCACAACATTTAAACAAAGCTAGGTGACAACCCAAAATACAGGTATATAAAGACAAACCAACAGCAACCCCCGAAACTGCACAGAGTCACAGGACTACACGGGAGGAGGAAGAAAGAAGCAACTGACAGGTTTGATGGGCCTGAGAACAGAAAACCAGCAGGCGCACCCGAAAATCAGGGTGAGCCAATTTGAGAAGGGCAGCTGAAACACAGAGGGAGTTGTTTCTTCCAATACCAACTAA